AAAAGAGTCTGGAGAAAATGTAAAATCTGGGCAGTGTGTATTCTCCTTTTTGTTATTTTCATGACAGGATTATAAATGCAATTTCTTTCTTTCTTTAATCCTCACCCAAGAATATATTTATTCATTTTAGATAGAGAGGGGGAGAGAGAGAGAGAAGGAAGCATCAATGTGAGAAACAAACATTGATTCCAGTACGTGCCCTGACTGGGATCGAGATTCAACCCACAACATTTTGATGTACGGGATGATGTTCCAACCAACTGAGCCACCTGGCCAGGGCTAAACGCCGTTTCTTATGAGGTTTCTGTAGACGCCTCACCATCTGGAGTTCATGCTGATGCTCACCAGTGCCTCCTGTGACATGCCCACTAGAAGCCCCATTTGTCCTGCCTTCCTAAGCTGGATTTCATGCTAGGTGAGAGCTCAGACTCCTGGGGCAGTGGGAGCGTTCATAATGTTAGCTACCAATGAACCAATAACCTCACTCTGACCAACACTTTCCAAAATCCTTCCCAGTGAGATTTTGCTTCACATTGAAACTGAAAAAAAAATTCTCTGATTTTCACTTAGGACATTTTGCTCTTTTCCAAGTATTATAACAAGCTTGAGAATGACCCAAAGGTGAGCAATGAGAAGAAAAGCAAGAAGTGAAAATAAGCCCTAGTTGGAATAACTGTTTTCTCAGGGGGATGAGAGCTGTCATCAGCCTGTTGGTGCCACGTGCTTATCAAACTCTGAAACAAGTTCCAAGTTTCAGAGTCACGCAGATGTGGTGACTCAGGCTGGGCTTCTGTATTGGGTGCTTCACCAGCGCCTGGGAGGCTTTCTGACGCCTGCAGTTGCAAGATACCAAGAAGATTTTCAAATTTTGTGTCTTCATTTTGGCAGTTATCTGAAAACTAACATAAGCATTTTCTGGATCATCTGGATGACCAGGTTGGCACTGATGGCGAATCTGGGACATGGGTTTGTGTGTGTGTGTGTCACAACAGCCTGGCACAAGGTAGTTGCACAGTGATTGTCCCAGATGAAAGAGAAGGCTGATGTGGACACTGTAATCTAAATGCGTTTGCCCCTCAGGAAAGTCAGCGGGATACAGATTCCCGGAGAGCTGGATTTCTATCTGCTTTGCTCACTACTCCATCATTAGCCACACCCTAGACAGGTAGTAAGTGGTCAGTAAGCAAACACTTTAAAAATACCTGGAGTTCCAAAAAGTGTGGGGGAGGGTCAGGTCATCAGCAGGCACAGAAGAGCCTGGGCGAGAAGGTGGTGTCATCATCGAGTCCAGTGCAGCAGCAACTCTGTTTCAGGAGACAGTGCTACCGCCAGATTCAAGCCATGTTGTTAACTCACGTTTTATTGACTTTGGAGATAGATTTCTTGGCATTGACTTATAAACTTATTTTATGTTATAGTCATAATGGGCCTATGAGCAAAGCCATTTTATGTTTATACCTATTTGAGAAACACCAAAATGAAAAATAAATTAGGTCAGCTGTAAAGGTCTGTGAGAAATGATTTTTTTTTCCTGTAGAAGGATTCCATCCATCACTTTTCTTAAGAAATAGTGGATAAGCATTTTCCACAACATATGCCCAATCCTGTGGCAAATTGGGGCATGGCCCCCCCAGCCAGGAAAGGTAACCGTTTCTCTAGGAGTGTGTGTGGTCTGTCCACCAATAAAGTTGCTGCCTGTGGAATACCGGTTGCTTCTCTCAGTTACACTCAGCCGTGCTAATGCTTCAAGGAGGGGCTCTGACTCTGATGCGCACAGTAGATTTGAATGGGCAGTTGGTCTTGTTTTCAGAGCTCCAGAGGGCAGCTGGAGCTCTGAAAACAACTGTGGAAAGAGGTTACTGAGATTTGGACTTAACTTAACTCACTGTCAGAAAATTTCCTGCCCTAGAACAAACAAGCTGTCTCTAGACTTTATCAAGCAGTTATGGGGTGATTACCTGGATGGTGAGTGGGCATCTAGTGGGAGAGTAGATTACATATATTGATCCTGCTGATAATAACCGGCTCCACCTGGCAGTCTCCTGTATTCTGCAACCATCAGCAGCATTGATTACCCCTGCCTGGCTTCCTTAGTTTCTCAGCATGGCTCTTTGTGATCGGGCTGTGCTGGCGTCCATGGCGATAGGCGGCAGTCAAGCTGGGAGCCATACTGCAAGATCCAGCCACCAGCTAGAGCCTCCTGGGCAAAAGAACCCTGAAATCTGCAAATATGCCAAGGCCCCCATCCATGCCAATAGATGTAGAGCCCTTTCTGACTGCCCAGGCTCCAGGCTCCAGGGTGGGGAGGCCTAATGTATTGTGTCTCTTTTCTTCCCTCAATATAAGCTTTAAAAGCTAAAGGTCATGATATTCATTGTGTACTTGCTTAATGTATGTTAGCCCCTTCTTCCTCCCTTTCTCCTTCCCTTCCGAAAAGTCTTAAAAGCAAACCACAGGATTTGTGCCCACATATATTTGTTGAACTAAAATGCACCTCTAGAGTTTGGGGTCCACACCTGATCCCTATAGTCATGTCTAAGAAACTTGCTTGATAAGTGATAAAACAGAGTGGCCAAGAGACTCGGATTCGTGGTGCAGGAAAGGAAGGGGCAGCTGATTAGGAGCGGATGATCTGCCAGCCCAACTGCTGATCAGAGCTCAGATCAAAACAAGAGGCTGCAACACTGGCAATGAGTGGGGATCGGAACCTGAGTCCGGCCAGCTGGCAGTTCCCAGATTTCAAGGGCCACCTGGCTCCTGAGCCGGCCCCAGGCCCCTCCCAAGCCTGTTCAGCTCCAGCCAGCTGTCCCTCGGCATTTCTCAGAGCAGCAACATGCAAGGAGAAGAAACCGCATGCAAATCAGGGACAACTTCCTCATTCCCATCCCTGGGAGAGTTGCCAGCTCTGCCCAGGCCTGACTTCTGCCCTTTGTGAAGTAGGGGGCAGGGGGAGATACTTTTCAAGAATGGTGGGAAAGTGTCAGCTAAATAAAAAATGGCTTCTGAAGCCCAAGTGAAAAGGCGTGGAGTGGCTTCAGGCCCAAACTGCGCTTTCCCAGTCTTTTCTATTTCTTTCCCTTTTCCAGCCACCAGAATAAGTATAAAGAACACATTAGAGAAATAACATACATAGATGCAAAGACATCAGCTTTGGTGGCTTGGATATGTATCAGGAAAACCATCTGTGACATTTTTTGCCATATAAATTGAGGGAGGGAAAATAGAGAAAGGAGAAAGAAATAGCCACCAGACGGGAGCAGGGAGCGGCGGGGTGAGGGGGCTGGGTGAACAGAGGGAGATTAACAAGTGTTGTCAGAACTCAGCTGCCCCTGCAGCGTCCACCTCTGCCGACTGAGAGTGGGGTAGACAGATTCATCACATCTCGAACTGCAGATGGCGCTGACTTCCACCGAAGGAGGGTAAGACTCCCCTCAAGCTGCTGCCCACAGTCCCGTGCAGAGATGTGGGTCTCTGGAATTCCAAATTCCCCTACATGACCAGGGACCCCAGGCTCCCCCAGGGCCCTGCTTCTTTTCTCCCCACCATCTCTGGCTTTCTTAATTCTTCCTCTCTGCTTTGGCCCTTGGCCTGCCACCCCACGGCCTTCAGGGCCCTGGGACCCTGCAGGGCAAAGAAGGTGCCGACTGGGGCTGTTGGCCTCTTGCTCTAGCTGGTCTTCCCATGTAGCCTCCCCTTTGGGAGGAAGCCCAGCTGAGTGCTGACAGCCTGTGCTGACAGAATGGATTGCCCAAGGCTGCCAGACACTGAACCAAGAGCGGGAGCTCACATACTTGTGTCTGGAGGCAGAAAGCCTCCCCAGGCTCTGAGCCAGCTTCTGCACCCCAGCTCCCCAAACAGGGAAACCACCCAGACATCCTGTCCTGCTCCTGGTGACACTCAAGAAGAGCGGCGTTCATCCTGCAAGTTCCAGGATACTTCCTTCTGTCATATTTTCGGGCTGCAGCAGGACAGGTGAGCCAAAAGAGCCATGAGCTCTCTGAATGCATGGGCCCAGGCCTGGGTTTGGGCCTTCTGGGAGAACAGAGCACATCTTTTGGCTGCTGTGGTCTGAGGTGGTTTAGGCCCATTTCCTGCAGGAGGAAGGATCCGACAGAGGCCCACTGAGAACCTCACCAGGATTTGGGCTCAGTCTCAGCTAATGGTAAAAGAGGGTGTTGCTTTCTTTGCACTTCTACTCTAAGACCTGCACGGGAGAGAGAAAGGCTCAGACAGGGCAGGACTCCTCCTGGAAGCACTGCCTTGTGCTGTGATCTCAGCATCTCCCTGGACCCCCATGGGAACACACAGATCTTCAGCTAGTTTCACTTCACAGCTACCCTCAGGCTCTGATATTTAAGGTTGATGAACTCATTACCAAGTAGCAGCATTTTCCATCAATGTGCCTGTAGACCCTGACTCTCATAGAATCCAGTAGAAAAATGACAACTGTAAGCATGTGTGTGTGTGTTGTGTGACACCAGACAAGATGGGACAGAGGCACAGGGCTGTCACAGCCTAGGGGACCCCCACTCAGATGGGGGGGTCCCATGTTCATGTTCATGTCTTCCATGAACATTTCCATGACAGAAGGTCTGGCATCCTTTTGGATTTCACTCTTCCATGAACCAAAGGGGCAGATGCTTCCACCACAGGCTCCATGGTCCTCAGAGTGTAAACAGGTGTCTGGCAGCAGGAGTGGGTGGGTCTGGATAGCTCAGCCAGGTCACTCCCAGTCCTCCTCTTCCTTAGAAGTTGCTGCAGCTGCCTGACTCTCCTAATCTATAGGGGTAAAGCACCAAATGTCAGCTTGTTCTGCTTTGGGGGTGGGGCAAAGGCCAGTGCAAGGGCAGGCTGAATTTTTCTCAGCCCCAAGCTATGAGGGCTTTTGCCTGTAATAAGACCAAACCTCCCAAACCAAAGGAGCCCTCTACCACACCCCAGGAACTCCCTCAGCTCCAGTCCCCGGAGAAATCAAGAAGCAAACAAGGCTGTTTGGGAAGTGCTCACGTGTGTTTATTTCACAAGGGGGGATATGGGGGGGGGCGATCACCAACAAGATGCCACCAAATGAAACATATGAACCCCAAACTGGGCAACTATAGGGTTTGGTTCTGGGCAGGGCTTGGTCTTTGGGGACAGCATGAGGGAGAGAGATGGGAACTGGCAGAAGCACAGCATTCTGTCTAGGGTACCACACAGGGCAAGGCCCAGCCACATCCTTCCATCCAGATGTATGGCCACCCCCCAGCCCCCCAATCTTCTCAGCAGCCTTGTCCTGATCCAGGCAAGCAATGAAGTGGAAAGCCTGAAGCCACACTTCCACACCTGCTCTACCACACACTCAGACACACACCCAGACACACACGCCACGTGGTGTCACACATGCATGCACGCACATGCAGCCACACATGCCCTGCCACACACACACCAGCGCACACACTCATATGCATGCACACACATCCATATATTAACTCTGATTTATAAGTGCACCCTAACCAGAGGGCAATCGAAAAAAAATTATTACTCTTCAGAGAGGAATCGACTGCCTTCTCCCCTGTCAGCCAACAGAGCATGGGCTGAAATGAAATGAGCACAGAGCATCCTCGAGGGCCCTGACCCCCTTTGCTGTGCTGGTTCCAGTCCCTAGGCTCCAGGTGGAGGCCCCTTGCTGAGTCCCCTGCAGTGGCCTCCATGAGTCAGGGATCCTGGTCCTTAGCAGGCAGAGCTGCACCGCCTGACTCCAGCCTGGGGGACCTTGCACAGCTCGGGCCACCCTGTGTGCTCAGCCTATGTCTGTTTCAGCTCCCTCCAGACCCAGGCAGAAGAACTGTCCTGGGAGCACAGGAGCCTACTAATGCCCAGGTGACTATGAAGCGTCAGCTCCTTACAGGCCAGCTCAGGGAGAGTCTAGAAAAACCCAGAGCTAAAGCCACACGCCACCTAATGGAAAAGTTTGGGGTGGAGGCTGCCTTGGTTATGAATGGACATCTGGGCAGAAGTGACTTCAGGGAAAACTGAGTCTCAGGGCCTCACTGCCTCCCCTGAAATGGGGGGAGCTAGGATGTGGCTGAGACCTGCAGCCCCCAACTTTGTTGAGGGCTAGGGTGGAATTCAGAAGCTGCTGCTGGAAGAAGTGAGAAAGAGGAGAGGCCCCTGCCAGTCCAGTCCTGATGGTGGGTGGGGAGATGACAAAGGAGATGTGGATGTTTCACTCCTTGGTACCAGGTTCACATCTGGGCTGCAGAAGACACAGCTCCTGGGTTCCCAGTGAAGGGGTGGGTGGGGGGTGCTTTCCCAGGGTCCAGGAGCCCCATGGAAGCTGAGTGCCTGATGTGGACACAACGTCTCCATCTGGGGCCCCCATGCTGCCCTGGAGAAGCCCCGGACGCCCACGAGCACCTGCTGGCTCCCAGCTATCTCTCCACCAGTGTGGCTGGTCCAGAACACGGGCAGACACTGTCCCAGGAAGCCAGGCTCTGGGGTCCCCAGCTCCTTCCCACTACTTGATGGAATTCTTAATTGTCCACCTCTGTCCTGTGCAGCTGCGGAGGATGAGGTCGATGCCAGCCAGGCCACGGTTCTCCACCTCCAGACAGCGTCCTGTGCCCTTATTCATGATGGCTCCATTCTGGGAGGAGATGGGGGTAAGTGGATGAAAGAGGGAGAGAGGGAAGGAGTGAGAGAGGGAGAGAGAGGCTTAACCACCACAGTGCCTAGCACCTGGCTTCTTGGGGGGTACAATCCTCAAATTCTTTGTACACGGGGAGGGATCATTGGGGCTTCCTCTGGAAATTCTAAAGCAGGGGTGTCAAACTCTTTTTCACTGGGGACCACATCAGCCTTGTGGTTGCCTTCAAAGGGCCAAATGTAATTTTAGGACTGTATAAATGTAACTACTCCTTAACTGGGGTGGGGGGGGGGCGGGCAAGGAGCTCGGTGCTGCTGCCGGGTAGAAACAAGGTGCTGGGCCTGATAAAACAAGGTGGAGGGCCAGATTTGGCCTGCAGGCCTTGTGTTTGCCACCTGTGCTCTAAAGTCAGAAAATAAATAAGCCTCATCAGTGGCTTGTCTCTTTTTGAGTGGCTGAACCAGGTAAGGAGCATCAGTGGAGAATGCTGTTGGAATGAAGACTTTCCAGGGATATGTGAGGTCTGACTTTCTCCATCCTACTGGCTGTAGGTACTTAGCATATTTCAGGAAAATCACCACCCCCCCATTCCCCTCCCAACGCTAATCAGAGCCAACCCAGCCTGGCACTGCCACGGGGATCCGGAAGGCTGTTTCCCGTTGAAATCCTCCACCGATTCCCCCCAAATGTGTTTCAGGTCCAGGTGCCTGCCCCAGGGTTGGGAGACCTTTGCTCGATGCACTTTCCTGGGTGCCCCTGGGCAAGTCAGATTGCCCTGTGGTTGGCAGCACCTTCTCTTGCTCTGGGGTGTTGGCCCTGTCCATGGAGCACTTACCTGGATGAAGGTCCACCGCTTGTACAGGCTGCTTTTGACCTTGTCACAGTCAAGCAGTTGGGGCAAGCGACTCTTGGAGTTGTCTACTAGGCAGCGGGTGTCAGGGAGGAGCGTGGTGGTCCCCAGGGCTCCCAAGTGCAGAAAGCCTTCCTTGGTATAGCGGGCGAGCTGTGGAGAGAGCAGCGTGCCCGGGGAGCAGGGCCAGGAGGAAGGAAAACAGGGCTCAGGCCTGCAGGCCTCACCCATGCCTCAGTGCTGCAGTCCTGGCCACCACTTCAGGCCTGTCCCACCCACCGACACACACACCCACCTCACAGGTGAGCCCTGCCGGGAAGCCCTCTGGTTTGTGAAGACTGGATATAGATTCCTCTGGGTTGCTCTCTGATTTTCTTTTCTAAGCATGTCCTTGTCAGTGTTTCAGGAATCTAGCCTTCTGTCCAACAACATGGGGAGCAGGGATAAGTGAAAGAGCAGGACAGCTGATTTCTGAAGCCTGGCTCTGCCTCCAGCTGGCTGGGCCACCTTGAATAATTCACTTAACCTTTCTGAGCCTCCATTTCCTCCTCAATTATAACTGGGAATTAACTAAATCTATCCTGTTGCAAAGGGCCCACAGAGGCAGCACATGAAAGAAGAAACAGACATTATTAAAAAGCATTCAACCTCATCGATTTTAAAATAAATAAAATAGCAATGAGATACCACGTTTTAAAAAAGACCTTATTCCCATTTTGTCAAGGTTTGCATAAGACGGGCTGATGAGAGGGTAAATTACTACAACCTGGCAAGAAACGGATTTCAAAATACATGCTCTGTGCTTTTAAAATGTCCTGCTCCTTTAACTCAATAAATCCACTTTTAGAAATCTATCCCAAGGAAATAATCAGAAATGTGAACGTACGTTTATGTATAGGGTATTTATTGTAACATTTTTAATAACATCTTGAATGTGCAGCACAGTCCTGGTACTTGCTTTCTGCTCCATGTACTGCAAGGAGTGCTGGGAGATTGGAAAAATGGTCACATCCTTCACACTTCCTTCTGTACACCGATGGTAATGTCAGTCAAATGGAGTCTAATTTCCCATCCCTTGAATATTGGTGACTTGCTTTGGCCAACAGAATATAGCAGAAGTGTGGATGTGCCTATTCCTTGATTAGACCTTGCATACTTCCACCCTCTGGAAACCCTGCTGCCACCATGGCAGTAAGCTCAGGATGGTCTGCTAGAAGGTGAGAGACAGCCACCAGACAAGGGGATGAGATCATTGGAGATCAGGTGGCCCTCAGTCAACCTGCTAGCTGATAGGAGATTCGTGAATGAATCCCGCCAAAATCTGCTGAGCCTGGTCCAGGTCACAGAACCATCTGGCTGGCCTATGGACTCATAAGCAATAATGAATGCATATGGTTTTAAGCCACTAAGTTTGGGATAGTTGTTATGCAGCAAAAGCTAACTGATACAGAAATGGTGTTGCCTGCCAACTCTTCCCCCAGCAGGGCTCATACGACTTCAGTAGCCTCCCCTCTCCTGCCTGTCCACATTTAAAACTCTGTTTAGCACAGCTTTTAAACAAATGCTTTCACCTGCCATTCACACTTCTTTAGGGGCAGGGACTGGGTCTAATCCATTTCATTACTTGCTAGGGGAATAATCACAGACCAAGTGCTCAGAAATGTGTTTATGAATGAGCACATTGTAAATGTGGTGAGCATCCTCACTTAAAAAAAAAATGAAGCCCCATCTCTCCAAGCATGTTTTGAAGAATCCTCTGTGTGCCCAGCCTGGGGACAGGCTTCAGGGAGTGTAAGGCTGGGGCTGTGTTCCCACTGTGATGGTCCCAGTGCAGGCTGGGTGGGGGAGGGGTGCGGTGAGAGAGGCAAGCACGTTCTTCCTGTTTGTCCTTGCAATCCTAAGAGGTGCCTAGGAGGGGAGTGGTGATCACTAATACACAGCTAGCTCCTATTTATTTACTTATTAATAAAATAAATAAATAAAATTATTAGCTTGCAGGTAGTAAAGGCATACTCTGCATCATTTCTAAGATGGTGCGAGGATAAATGTTGGAATTTGCATAAACCCCAGTGAGGCAGGTGCTACTGCCCATTCCATTTTATTTATTTATTTAATTTTGGGGCAGCAGCACTTCACCTGTTTTGAGGGCCTGCCCACAAGGAGCTCATAGCCTAGGGGCTGAGCCCCCACATGTGCTGGGTGGGGGAGGAAAGGAGGTACAGGAAGAAAGGAAGTTCATGCAGATACTGTGGCCCGAGCAAAGGGTGTGCAAAGCAGGCACAGGCAGTGGGGTGGCAGGGGAATGGCAGCCTGGCAAGTCCTGCCTAGACCGGGGGGACTAGACCAAGCAGAGGCATGAAGCCTGCCCCATTCCCACTGGGGTGGGCTCACCTAGGGGTGCACTGGAGGTGGCCCAGCCCCTCTAGCTGCTGAGCTGGGCCCCACTGGCATGTCAGTGTGTCGGCCCTCTCCACCCCATACTCCTTGACCATGCAGACCCCTGAGGGAAAGCAGGTAGCTAGGGCCTGGGACCCCAACCAAGACAGCAGGGTAGAGGTGGGCCCCTGAGGGAGCAGGTTGAAGCCATGATGGTCCTAGGTCCCTGGGTAAGTCCCCAAGGAACTCCCAAATTTCCATGGCTGCCCCTGGGCCAGCTAAGGAGGGAAGGAGGGAGGCACAAAGGAAGCAGAACCCCAATAACCAGGGGCAGGCCCCAAAAGGCCTAGCCCCTCAAAACTTCTGCTGATAAGGAGGTTTGGGGGTACACAGGTGGAAAGCTAAGAGGAACCCACCTAAGGGGAAGGGAGACAGCCAGACACACAGCAGCCAGGAGGGCAGCAGCAGAACAGAGACACGCATACACAGAAGGTGTATGACGGAAGTGGGGAGGGGAAATATGACCACTTACAACCACACAAAACCTCCATACATGTCTAGCACCTGGCAGAGGGGAGGGCAGCAGGGCAGTGGTGGGCAGGGCCAGCTCGATTTGGAGAGGATGTCATAGTGTCCATAGCACTCAGAGAAGATGTATGTGTTGGTGGTACGACCCTCATCATGGTGCATGTACTCCATGTGGTTGGAGACGCTGAGGGCCTGGGCCATAGCAACAGAGTGGATGTGGTCACTCTCCTTGCACATGGGGTTCCACTTCCTGCTGGCAGAACTCAACAGTCTGCCCATCCAGTGCAGGTAGCCTGAGGTGAGCCGCTGCAGGTAAACCACCAGGTAGTCCGAGGTGTTCTGGTTGTTGAAGAAGGCCAGCAGGTCAGCTACTGAGGTCTCTTCTGCATCAGCTCCATCAGGCCTGTGAACCGGTTGTAGAAATCCTCAACTGTGAACTCGGTGGTGCCCTGGACAGCAGGTCTTCTTTGCTCTTGGCAAACATAGCCTTTACCCTCTGCAATTCCTTGCTATATCACCTAGCAGTGCCTCCAGGGGGAGAACCCGAAAGCTCAACAGAAGCAGTTCCCATTGGGCCTGATCTTGCCGATGTACAAGTATGGTACTTTTTGTGAAGGTCCTTGATCTTCTGTCGATGTTGTCATGTTCATCATACTCCTTGTACAAGACAGTGAGCTCTGGCTGCTCCGAGGCCGGAGGGTTCCTCATGGCAATCTCTTGCTGAATTTGGCCCTGCCAAGCCATGTTGGCTTCATCATAAACAAGACTGTCAACACCAGAAACACACGTGGCAGTCCTCAGGGACAATCACACCCCCAGCCACCTGCAGCATCCCCAGAGGCCCCGCCTAGTCCTTTGCACCTGCACCTGGTATAACTTGATGCCCTCCTGGCACAGCCTGGGGAGGCAGGGCAGGGAATGTCACTCTATTTTAAAGATGAGGAAACCAAGCCATGAAGACATCTGGTCACCTGGATGGATCTTGGCCTCTCGGGTCCATAGAGACCCTGTGCTTGGTGACCCAGGCCCAGCAGCTGAGCAGCAGAGGAGCCTCCTTCCAGATGATCCTCTCTTCCCCCTGAGAACCTGGGCATTTCTGGGCAGGAATGGAGTAAGAAGACAGCTCTGCTGAGGGATGTGGGTGCCTCTTCTCCAGGGGATAAGATTCTCAAGGGCTCTAAGCTCCTGGTGGAAGCTGCTTAGAAGCCCTCTGCTTTGATCCTGAAAGGGGAGCCCACCAGATCCCCCCAAAACAAGTCACAGGGAGTTAATTAAGTGCCCTTGAGAAAGATGCAGTTAACATGTGTTTTCAACCCAAATTAGTTCCAAATCAGTAATTGTTAGAGGCAAAATGATAAGAAAATCAGAAACTCTCTCCCATCCCTTCCTAACAATGTCTCTGAATATATTTAAATTCACCGAATGCAAAGTGATGAATGACAGCAAGCTGTCTTTATGTTCAGGGGAAAGATATACACAGCTGCTTATTGAAATTATGAATCAATCTATTATCCAGCAGGCAAATGAGTAGCGCCAAGAAAATTAATTAACTAAACATATCTGTGACCCAGATGTTTAAAGAGTGAAGCTAAATGCCACTGGGAGTTAGAGTCTCTTTTTTCTGAGGTCTGTTAGGACATGACAACAATGAGACCTGCTCCATTGCCATGCAGGCTTCAGGGTGGGCAAGGTGACTGAGGAGGGCTGGCAGGATTTTTGTTCTGGGGGAAGGCCAGTTCTCACACCAAAAGTACCAGGCCAGGCGTATGGGCTCTGTTGGCCTGGCCCAGGGGCCAGGGTCAGGGGAAGGGCACTGGCCTGAAAGAAACGTGGGGTTTCACAAGGCAGGAGGGTGGTGAGCGCTGAGACCTGATATCAACGTTATCTCCCTCTTTGCTCCACTCCTGGAGTGGGAGTCTTCCTAGTCCACCGTCCACCATTTCCCAACCCTATGCTCTGCCCCTGTCCTCTGTATGTCCAATGGGCTTCCCTGTCTTCAGGGCTTTGCTCCGCTCTTTGTCTGCTGGAATTGCTATTTTTTGGCATTGTTCTAGGACTCTCTGGCTTCAGCATTCCTAGACCCTAGTGCAATTCTCTCCACTTCACAATGTCTGTCTAAGTCATGCCCTCATCTCCTGCCAAGTCTCTGGTGCAACCTGGATCCATACACTGGGGGTGTCCCACCTCCTCTGACCACTCCACCCCTCCATTCGCCAGGTGATGACTGTCTGCTTGTTTCTACTTTGGGC